CACAGAATCTGGGACCCTTGGGCTCATGTAGACATGGTGATTGACAGCAGAAGTGCGAGCAAGGGCTGATACAGCCCTCACGGCCAGCCATGCAGCCGCTTTGCCCACTGCCACTGCTGTGCCTGACCTATGCCCTCTGCCTGTGATGTAGCTGGAACCACATGTCCTGGCTTTATTGTTTTAGAAAACTATATTGCATTATTTGTTAAAGATCCACTGGCCAATCAACACAATCAGTACAATGGAGGCTCTAGGCCCATGTTTTGTTTTGCATCTCTGTATTACTCACTAGCTGAAGGCCAGGTTCATAGCACAGCATGGATGCTACATGAGTAATAATCTAAGCAACATCCAGGAGATAACAAAGCCCACCTTCAGAGAGAACTTCTGGGACTTGGGAGATAGGACACCTAGATATTAGTAGCAAAGTAAGGGGTCAAGCTTTCCTCAGGCCTTTGGAGCTGTGGTTATTGGTGTCAGAGGGAGGAGATCCAGGATAGGTCTGATGGAATATTTTTTCATCTTTCCCTCTCAGCAAATGCTGTGTCAGTGATGAGCTGTCTTATGGGCAGACAACTAAGAACTGAGTGCAGAATCATAGGATCACAGAAGCACAGGATTGGAAGGGATGTTAGGGAACACCTGGTCCAACCCCTGGTATGAATGCAGGAATGCATAGAGAGGTGCCAAGCTTAATGATGACTATTGAACTCTCCATGAAATTAGAGTTAATGCTGTCTGGGCCACTGCTGCAGAAAACAGCACCATGCAGCCATCACTACAGAGACCCTCAGATAAGGCAAGAGAACAGGATGCCTCCTGGACTGTGTTTTAAGTCATTCAGCAGGCAAAGAGGCTAAATGTGAGGGTTCCAGTCTGTATGGCTGGCAGAACAGTTTCTTGTATGATCCCTTCATGGGTTGCCCAAATCAGAAGAAGGCTTCCCCACCTCTGAGCCATCAGCTACCTGACAGGAGACCAAATGGCAAAATGAAAATTCAGGGCTTTTAGGGCAAGAAGGCATGACAGGAGGCAGAGGTGACCTGCCCAGCCAGAAATGGGAGGGGAAGCAACTGTTCCCACCTCTCACAACCACCTCCCCCCGTTCCCAACATTTGTGTTCAGGTCAGGCTGGTTTTCCAGTGCTCCATGTAGATACAACCATCCAGTACCAGTCTGGGACAATAAGTATGACAAAAGTTGTCTGTGGGTTGCTTTGTAAGTAGCATTGCCCCACCCCCAGCTAATGTAGAGGTGTTACTGAGCATGCCACAGGGCAATGGGAGCCAATCTTTTTGGCAAGCCTGCCATGAATTAGGCCCATGCTCTCCCCAAGTGCCCTCTGATCCTCCTCCTGCCCCATTTCCTGCTTTGCTTTCTGATTCCTTTCCTGTATTTATTGCCTGATGTTGCTGTCCTTTAGGCTTCCTCCCCTGTCTGCCACTGTGCTGCACGTCCCCTCCAGGATCTGTTATGTGCCACACATAGAAGCTCTCCATGACATTTGTTGCACACGTCACAGGTTGGCCACCCCTGTCCACACCCCTGTAGCCAGCCTGAAGGTATGTAATTGGCTCAGAGCATATTCACAGCCTCTCCTAGAATCCCCAGATAACTCCCATTCCCACTCCCTCTCTTCCTTCCTCCCCCTCCCTCCCCGCCGAGAGGTTCCTATATAGGCAACTCTAGGCAACTTTATTTACTAGCACTGCTAGGGGTATTCATGGAAAGCTCTGAAAAGTTTCCTCCAGAAGGCAGAGGAAGGTGAGAGAGTTCTCTATCCATTTCCTCTCCTATTTCACTACGTCCTCTGACCTGTCACCCCTTCCTCCCCTCCCCTGCTTGGCTTCCTTGAGGGCTGACTGCTTCAGGTTGGGCCCCTAGTCTGTGGTGGTTCTGATCCTTTGATAGAATTATGTATGGCAGCACTTCCCATTGAGGCTTCTGCAAAATGGGTTGAAGGAGGTGGAAGGAGCTACAAGCTGCTGCTGCAAGAGGGGGAGTTTGGAGGTGTAAAGCATCCTCCAGCTGTTGGCTGAAGAGTGCTTGCACTGCATCTACTCATCAGTTTCCTGCCTGTTATCTAGTATCACACACACAGGGCCTGCTTGGGGTGTTCCAGTGCAGAGGTTCTGGCAGTGCTTGTGGGGAGGTGAAACATAGATGTGAGAACTGGGCACTCCATGTCTAGATTCAGGTGCTGATAAAGGTGCTTTGTGCTAACAAGCTTGGGAACTCATAGCTAATACCAGCTGGAGCTGGAAAAAGGCCTGCTCTCAGGCTCACCAGCATTTCTGGTTTGCCTAAGTGCAGCAAGAAGTTATAGTCCTTATGCTATAGAAGTGATTATAGCCCTAGGAATGATTCACATCTCTCCCTTCTACATATGTCTTTGATTAAATTTTAGACCAAAGAGCAGCTTGTTGACTGTGCTGGACAAGTGGCTTCCAAGGGGCAAGTGTTTGTTAAATTTGGCCACATCATTGCAAAGAATTGCTTGGATGACAGGTGTGCACCAGCTGTGCTGCATGTCACGGAGCAGATCCAGACCATCAGCAGTCAGCTCAGCATTCTTGCCAGGTAAATCACAAGGTCAGAGGGTGCTCTCTTGCTCACAGTTAGCGTGCATAAGAGGTAGGGGTGTCCCTTAATAGTTGAGGATCTTCAAGGGTGCAGCTTGCTGTTTTTCTCACTAGTATACACATATGGTACCAGTAGCAGTCACTGAGGTGAGCATTGTCTTTGCCTTGGAGAAGTTTCCTCTTTATTTTACTTTCTTACAAGCCTAAAAACTAACCTGGCCCTTTCTCTCATGCTAGGTGAGGGCAACTGGAGGCTGCTGGTTGCATCCTGGTGACTACCCCATGCGCCTTTTTGGGTGCAGACAGAAGTTACATTTTGTGTGTGACTTGACCCTTGCAAACACTCTACATCTGTACTCTGATATGTGTGCATGACTGCAGAGTGATTTTAAAGGGGCCGATTACACGAAAAATTAGCTTTCCTCAAATAAGGGATCAAATGAAGGTGCTCTGCTTACAGCCCCTAGGGAATTTCCCTAGGGTTAATATTTGCATATTCAGGGCTGTCAGGAAGGAAGAGAGGGGGAAGGAGGTAGTGGGGAGCCAGAAGCAGCGCACTACAGCCTGGGCTTTGCTTGGCCTGAGCTGGAGGTGGGCGTGGTGGGGTGTGGATCAGAGCCCCCTCATTTCATGAACCCTGCCAAGCTGCTTCCAGTTCCCCAACTAGTAAGGGAGACCACAAGGTGGGGGGCTCTGACCCCTCACTCCAGCTCAGGCTTGGCAAAGCCCATCTGGCAGCATGCTGCTGCTGGCTGACTCCTCCCTCCCTGCTGATAGCCCCAGAGCTGAAAGATGTGGGGCAGGGCTGGGGAAAGGTGTGGAGCAGGCATGGCCAGGAGAGCCGGTGCAGGCAGGCTTGATTTCTGTTGGGTTCAGACAGGTGAACATCCGTTGGGTCGGGGGTGGAGGGCAATCTAACTTAAGGTGCTTTATGTAAAGTGTCATGAGTTAGAGTGGGGACCTGAACGTCTATCTGCACCCTTTATCCTGGTCTTGTTAAAAACAAACTACTCCATTCCACTGCCTGTTAACTGGCACTGAGTCAGATCTGGGGGAGCAGGTCTTAATCAGGATCTATCCATTGGTTTTGTTTCCCTGTAACAAATATGGTTGTGACGTCCCTTTTTTGCTGCCCTCGTTGGGGCTGGTATATATGCCTCAAGGTACTTCGTTTGCCCCCATCACTGCACTGGCTGAGCATGTTGATAGGAGTGACAGCATCTTCTTGTCCTCCCCACAAAACTGCCTCTGACTCTAGTGACAGCATACCTTCACATAGCAAGCTGTATAATGTTTTCTTTTTATCTTTTGAATACTTTTTAGGGTAAAAGCAGCAATAGCAGGGAGCAGGTGCTCTGCTGAACTCCTGGTAAACAATGCCCAGAACCTAATTCAGGCGGTGCTACAGCTGCTGAAGGCAGCAGAAGCAGCATGCATCAAAGTAAGTCTGCATTGGGACAGCACAAGGTCATTTATAGGGCAAGTATACATGGAGTAACATTTTTATGATGATATTCTTGGATTAAGACTAGGATATTCAAAGTGCCTGGAGGAACTGAGGAATTCTAGTGCCACTGGAATCTACAGGAATCTTTGCAGATTCCATTTGAGGTTAGTTAGTGCTAATGCTGCCAAGTGAGAACAGACATTTGCTCTAACAAAATCCCCAGGAAATTCATCATACTGGACTTCTACCTGCCTGTGGTATCACACCAGTGTTTCTTACCCTGGATTGGTTTTATTCTTTAGGCCTACCATTTGCATCTCTCTTCTACTTTACTATTGTGGTGATCCATGTAGCAGCTTCCTTCTTGCTGAAGACCATGGATTAATTAATTCTTCTAAATAATTAACCTTCACAGTCAACATTTCTTACTTTTCCATCTAAATCCAGGGGTGCTCATTACTGGTCTGTTTTTACATGCAGAGCTCTGAGATCAACAAAGTGACTTCAGCTCCTGGTTTTGGAGAGTGAGGGAATCATTTAAAACTAGAAGTAGGTTCACACCTGGAATTTGCTTGCAAACAGGCTGTATGTGCCTTCATCTTAGATGTGGCTCAGCTCTGGTTCCTGATTACTGTGATGACAGCAAGACCTTCTTGTAATATTTTAAACAACTGAATAGATCAGGCTTCTAATGGTGAGAAGGAACATTCATCCACACTCTGCCCTGATACAGCTTTGAACAATAATATGTCCAAATCTCCTTATTAACACAGGACATGGAGCCCCTAGGGCTGGCTGAATGAGTATGTGCTATTTAACAAGGTGGTCTGTCCTGTTAGGCTCCAATTGCAACTATACAGCTGGTTAATGACAATCACAACTAAGCCCTTTTCAGAGTCACTGTCCCCCATTCTGTAAATGTTTTTTGTTCCTAGTTATATGCATTTGCATTTGGCCCTGCAGATGGCTTATTAGCTCTGCCTTTTCTAGCAGTCCTGCTCATTCTGTAACACTGACTGCCCTCTTTATTTACCACCCCAATAATCTTGGTCATTTACAGAGGGTTGGGGGTTTTTTAGTAATTACTTTATTTTCTTCCACTTTTTGATGAAGACACTGAATTGACTGGGGCTGAGAATCAGTTATAACAGGACTCCACCAGATTCAGTCCTAACGGAGTCTGTTAGGATGGATGGGAGCAGTCTTAAGGAGCTCAGGGTTAAACCAGTACCTGAGACTGCAGGGAATCCAAATCCAAATCAGTGGAAGTCAAGGCTGCACAAAGAGGTCAGAATCAGGAGTCTGACCTATGTTTCTAGTTTGTATGTTCCTAGTCCATAGTCTAGTCTAGGCCAGGCTAGGCCAAGCCAGAGGATGGGAGCTAGGAAGTCCAGAACACATGATGGGGGTAAGTAGGAGCAAGGTACTTGGGTCTAAAGTAGGGACAAGGCAGGAACAAGCCACACAGGTCAAAAACTGGGAGTAAGGCTAGAGCAAGGCTGGGAGTTCCTGCAGAATGTGAAGTGTAGAATAGCAATGGCCCCAGTGCAGGGCCTGGGCTTATATATTAAACCAGGGGCAGTCAAAATACAGCCTGCCAGGCCATTCTATCCAGCCCGTGGGGCCCCTAAAAATTTTAGAAAGTTAATATTTATCTGCCCCAGCAGCTTGTCAAAGCTGACAAGAGACAGGGGCAGTAGGACCCAGGGGGAGCCTCAGCAGGACTGAACAGCCCAGCCCTGCCCACCCTCAGCCATTTCACTCTTTTTCTGACCCTGCCCTGCTCTAGCACCATATGGCTGCCGCTGCAGCGCTGAACCAGGGAGCATGGGGCCTAGCTGGTACGTGTGTGTGTGGACAGACAGGGACTGTGTGTGTGTGTGAGCAGGGACAGTATGTGTATGTATGTGTGGGCAGGGAGGGACTGTGTGTGTGGGTAGACAGGGATAGTGTGT